AACTCTGATAAAACCAGGGATGAGATCCAAGTGTAGAAAGGACCCTTGTATCCTGTGAATATGAATAAACTAGCTTAACAGGGGCCGTGGCTCAGTGGAAGAGCACCTGCTCGGCATGCAGAAGGCCCCAGGTTCAATCCCTAACATCTTCACTTAAAAGGACCAGTTAGTAGGTGATGGGAAAGACCCCTGACTGAGACCCTGGAGAGCAGCTGCCAGTCTGAGTTGACAGTACTGATGATGGACCAAGGGTCTGATTCAGTGTAAGGCACCTTCATGTGCTCACAATCCTACTTGCAGAATGACCCCTAGATATTATTTTATTGGCAAAGGTGACTAATTTAGACTGTAAGAAGACTTTTCCCCCCTTCAGAAGTGTTTTTTTCATTCACACACAACTCGAAGCAATTAAAATTCATGTGATTAGTTTATCGAGATTTCTTCTATCACAGCACAGCCCTGTAATTATACCGTTTATACATTCCTCTTGCTGAGATCACGTTTGGCAACATCCTTCTGCTTCTTTTGTCAGAAGCCTCGATTTCTTTTCCTTTTCATATTGCAGCAAATGGCAAAATTATATGCCTCACTCTTGTTAATTACCTCCTTCTGAGCCATTCCAACACCATCATTCTTTGGCAAAGCGGCACTCTAACGGTGGGATCTTGAACAACAATAAGCCAGATTTCCCCAATAGTATTTGGTCTGGATTACCTCTTCAAAAGATGATTGGAAGGGATCAGTCCAGCGCAGGTGCTGAGGTCCAAGACTTTCCTTGCCTGCCACCAGAAGGTGTCGTTCTGGTCCACAATCTGAAGAATGTCACCCTTTTTAAACGGCAGCCCTGCGTCAGCACAAGGAATAGCGGGGTCCTGAAGGGGCCAGTAATCCGCCATCGCTCGCACGTAGAGCTGATACGACAACAGGGAAGGCAGGAAAAGAATGACTCCTGATTTGTGAACTCCTGGGTTGTGGCATGTACAACTTTAGTCAGATCCGACCAGCATCAACATGGATCAATCCCCCCCCCCAAATTGGGGTGGGTATTGCCCCCTTTTTAGCTGCTCTACATGACAATACAGCACACGATGCAGCCAGTAAGTCTTCCTCCATGTCACATTCAGCGTTCCCTCTAAGCTGAGTTAGTGTGAGGTAGCCCACAGTTCTTTAGCCTCCGGCTCACACATTTTTATCTTAGCTCAGGAAGGAGGGCTCCAGCGCAAACTAACTTATGCAGCAGCCAAATCACTCGCTCACAATTTTAATGCCAGTAGCTCACAGAGTAGAATTTTTGCTCACGAGACTCCACAGCTTAGAGGGAACATTGGTCACATTCAATGCCCCCTGGAAGCTGTGGAGTCTTGGGAGCAGAAATTCTACTTTGTGAGCTACTGGCATTAAAGTTGTGAGCGAGCGATTTGGCTGCTGCATAAATCAGTTTGCTCTGGAGAGCCCATCCCTTCCTGAGGTAAGGCAAAGATCTGTGAGCCGGAGGCTAAAAAACTGTGAGCTAGCTCACACTAACTCAGCTTAGAGGGAACACTGGTCCCTTTGGGTTGGGGAAAGAGCATGGCAGTGAAGCCCCTCCTCCCACATGTCCCAGTTCCAAATTCAGTTGGGCTCTCCTTTATAAACTTCCCCAGTGATAACTTGCCCTATGAAATCTGCCCATGTGAAGGAGCTACTCATTGCATCTTCGGTCGGCGGGTTTCCTGTTTCTGCTGCTTGTTTTTTAACATCGCAAGACCCATGAATCGCTGCTAACGAGACCGACATTTTCTCGCTTTAACTGTTTTTAATTATTATTGCCTATGTAATTTGTTTTACCAGGCTGAGGAAACATGCCGTTCCGGATCACGTCTCATCTTCAACTGAACGAAACCCTCGTCGGCTGCGAATGTGTGTGAATTAAGATGTATATATGTTGTCCTCCCTTACCCCACAAATCATTGTTAGTCCCTAGTGAAAAATGAGTAACTGTAAATCACTCAGAGCCAGCAAGCTCTGCAGGATTGAGCGATTAATAAATTGAAAGATGATGATGATGATGATGATGATGATGATGATGATGATGATGATGATTAGTAGTAGTAGTAGTAGTAGTAGTACTAGTAGTACTACTAGTAGTAGTAGTAGTACTACTACTACTACTACTACTAATACTAATAATAATAATAATTGTTGGATGTGTTCTGCTGTTGTTACCTGCCCTGAGCCCGCTTGCGGGGCGGGCAGGATATAAGTCGAGCAAATACAATTTTTTAAAAGTTGCAGCTGACTTATGGCACCCTGTAGGGTTTTCAAGGCAAGAAACATTCATGAGGTGGCTTGCCATGGCCTGCCTCTATCTAGCAACCCTGGACTACCTTGATGGTCTCCCATCCAAGTAGTACCCAGGGCTGATCCTGCTTCGCTTCTAACATCTGATGAGACTGAGCTAGCCTGGGCTATCCAGGTCAGTGCATGGAATCAATTAGCCCTCTTTAATCGGACCATTATCAAAATTAAATTATGCCCCCCACCCCACCCATCCCAGATCAAGGAAAGCTGATTAAATGAACTTTTAATTAACTAAAGAAGAGAGCTCCAGTGATCAACTGTCACAGGAATAAAGCCTTCAAAACAATACAAGTAGCTAAGTTCCTCTGCTACGAAAGTTTAGGCTGAGAGAACCTGTTGGGTATAATCCACTCTAACCCGAGGTCCACAACCTTTTAAATCCTGTGGGCACGTTTGTAATTCTGGCACAGCATGGACGGCTTCAAGAGGGAATTGGATAAACATATGGAGCACAAGGTATAGATAGGAACTCTCAGTCTGGGGCAAGTGATGTTCCGTATTCTTGGTGCTTTGGGGGGCAACAGTGGGGAGGCTTCTAGCGTCCTGGCCCCACTGCTGGACCTCCTGATGGCACCTGGTATTTTTGGCCACTGTGTGACAGAGTGTTGGACTGGATGGGCCATTGGCCTGATCCAACATGGCTTCTCTTATGTTCTTATGTTCACAGCATGGTAGGCACAGCCAGAAAATGGCTGCCACTGGAACAGAGCCATACAAACACCAAAGGGAAGTTTGGTGTGAGCAGATAAACACTATAAGAACATAAGAGACGCCAATGTTGGATCAGGCCAAAGGCCCATACAGTCCAACACTCTGTATCACACAGTGGCCAGAAATACCAGTGCCATCAGGAGGTCCACCAGTGGGGCCAGGACATTAGAATCCCTCCCACTGTTGACCCCCCCCAAGCACCAAGATGACAGAGCATCACTTGCCCCAGAGCCCCTATCTATACCTTGTGGCTAATA